TTCTGTCTTTGTGCCAGTACCATACTGTCTTGATGACTGTGGCTTTGTAGTAGAGTCTGAAGTCAGGCAGATTGATTCCTCCAGTTCCATTCTTCTTTCTCAGGATTACTTTGGCTATTCGAGGTTTTTTGTATTTCCATACAAATTGTGAAATTATTTGTTCTAGTTCTGTGAAAAATACCGTTGGTAGCTTGATAGGGATTGCATTGAATCTATGGACTGCTTTGGGTAGAATAGTCATTTTGACAATATTGATTCTTCCGATCCATGAACATGGTATGGCCTGGGTATTCTTTACCACAGCTTACAAATAAGGCAAAAATCCATTTATTTTCTTTCAAAATTACTCCCTTCTGGAAAAGAAGAAAAGTGACTGGCATTTGCTGGCTGCGTAGAGCCAGGGAGCCCAGTAAAGAACTACCCGTGTCTCCTCATTACTTGGTCTTATGTTCAGAGGGTTGTCTCCTCCTGTTGTTAGGATTTAGCTATAAAATTCAGAGGGACTTCCCTGGAAGTTCAGTGGTTAAGACTCTGTGCTTCCAATGCAGGAATGCAGGGGGTGCCAGTTCGATCTCTGGTCAGGGAATTAAGATTTCACATGCTGTATGATGTGACCAAAAAAAAAAAGAAAAACAAGTGAGACGCTACCCCATATTTCATGATCTGGCCTTTGTCACAATAGCTTAGGTAGAACTCCAAATACCCTGTAAGTATTGTAGAAAGTATTCATTTGTGCATTTCTTTAGTGATTCAGCCATTTATTCAACCCGTGTTTCATGGAGACCTTCTATGTGCCAGGTCTGTGTGAGAGGAGGCAGACACCAATCCCGTCCTAGCAGCCTTTACAGAGCATGGCCTCAGCGAGACATATGATGTCTTAAGCCCATTAGGATAAGGTATCTCTTGCTCCCCGCAGATGTAGTCCTGGGTACGAAGCATCATGCGGTTCCGGGTTTGAAGCATCATCAGCAGAAAGCAGGTGTCCTTTATCAGGTGGGAGCCCTTGGGCAGTGAGTATTCTGAACAAACATTCTTGGCATCCCTGATGGACAGCAGTGGACATTAAACGAATTACTATTCAAATAGACATTTAATTACAAGCCTTACATATACAATTAAGGAAAGGACCTAATACGTAATTATTAAGTAGTGTCTCTTACATAACCAGAGGTGTCTGGCACAATTCCGAAGGAGGAGTGCATGAGAATATTTCTCACCAGAAGAACCCCAAGCATCCCCGCCCGTCGTCTTGGTGCCTGTGGAGAAGAGAGCCAGGGCACTTAGATAAGTTAAGACCTGTGGATTTCTGGTCTAACCACTTATTTGATTAGAGCATTCATTTATTTTTTTTATACATCCATAACTACCCATTGCTAGGTGTCAAAAGAATGCCATTTTAAGACCTCTCATGGGGTAAAAAATGATATATTTGCTTTTGTAATCATTCGACTTCTCTACATAAAAAATTTCATACTTAAGAACACTTTAGTATTAGTTATGATAGAAACAGAAGAATTATTTTCAGATTCAGACAGACCTGAGTTTGGCCTGGCTCCATTACTTTGAAATGACGTGATCTTGGGCAAGTTGCTGCATGAGTTTCTGCCTCAGTTTACTTGTCTGTAAAATGGGATTTCTAATCCCTACCTTTCAAGGTGTGGGGAAAATTAAATGTGATGATTTAGTGCCCATTCCCCCTTGAGCTCTGACTCTGGGAAAGGTCAGAAGATGCTGGTCTCTGTCCCCTTTGGCAGCAATGGAAAAGCAAGAGCAAAACAAAACAGAATCTGGCCAAGATGTGTTGATTCAAATGTGTTTGTTTCTTACATTGTACTACAGCAGACTATAGATGTATCAAGTTGAGTTCCCTACTGAAAGGTGAGTGTTTGGTTATTGTGTCCTTAATAATGTCCTACATGGCATGTGTTTTGCTGTGAGATTTGTGCAGTATATTCAGTCAACATACTCCTCTTGCAGTGTTTCTCCTGTCTACACCTATGATATTAATTTGATTCTATGTACAGATCTTTGTGGGGTTTGCAGGTGACTCAGTGGTAAAGAATCCGCCTGCAATACAGGGTACATGAGTTCAATCCTGGAATCAGGAAGATCCCCCAGAGAGGGAAATGGCAACCCACTCCAGTGTTCTTGCTTGGAAATTTCATGGCCAGAAGAGCCTGGCAGGCTACAGTCCGTGGGGTCACAAAGAGTCAGGCACGACTGAGTGACTTAACAATAGATCTATACACTTCAGGAACTCACTGTCTTACAATTTTTTAAAACAAAAGTAAAAAGTTAAAAAAAGATTTCTCTGATCATGGCCTCCTGTGTGTTTAAGAATTATGGCATGCCACTTAGATCCTTCTTAAAAACCAGTGTGTGTTTCAAAGAGCCTCCCTTGAGCCAGGCTTATGGACAGGCCAAATCAATGACCACAGCATGGCACAGTTGCCTGATGGCTGCAGACTGAGAAGTGGGAGGCCTGCTGGAGATTCATTTCCTAGAAGGCTGGTAAACAGTTGCACCCGCATCTACAAAGTTCACAGTGGCAGCGCTATTAGAGTGCAGTCAGCCAGAATGTCAGCCAGCATGGGCCCAAATACAAACCACCAGAGACACAGCCTGACCTGAGACCACGGGATTGGAAGTCATCGTCCGCTAAGTCATCCTTTGTTTTCCTCATTGGATGGTGGCTAAAGCGGAAGTACAGCAGTACCACCCAGTTCTTGAAGTGCATAGGGTGATTTAGGGAGGCAGTCGCTTGAGATGCAAGGAAGCCTCTGGGTAGGGCTGGGATGGTTGTCCTAATCAGTCAGAGTCAACCTGGGAACCTCTGGTTGCTACTCAGCCTCCTTCAGTCTCTTTATGACGTGGGGTTTGCAGTAGCACCGGCTAGCAGTGTAAGTTCATTGCAGAGGAGCTGGCCACCTCCCCAAGGAGAGAAGAGGTGCCTTTGGAGGCCTTCTGCCCAATACAGGAATGTATAAGCCTCGTGACTTTGTAAAAGTATATTTAGTTCCTTTCATGCATCCAGCCCATATGTGCCCTTTTTTTCTCAATTGCTGCTGAGAAATTAACTGGTGAAAGCTTTTCGTGTGGTAACAATAACCATAAAACTCATTGCCATGTGGCTGTCCTCAGTGCTTTATCTCATCCCCGACATTACAGTTAGACCCCTGATTGGATTCCCTGGCGGCTCAGTCAATAAAGAATAAATCTGCAGTTCAAGAGATATGGGTTTGATCCCTGAGTTGGGAGGATCCCCTGGAGAAGGAAATGGCAACCACTCCAATACTCTTGCCTGAGAAATACTGTGGACAGAGGAGCCTGATGGGCTACAGTCCCTGAGGTCGCAAAAGTCGAATGGACATGACTTAGCGACTAAACTAATCACCACTGCTAGACTACCCTGATTGTTGGTAAATGATGTCTTCATGTCCCAGAGTCTTCAAAAATTCTTCCATGAATCTGTAACACTCACTTGGCTTGAATTTTTCTTCCCCTAGAGGCAGTCTGTATGTCTTCCCTGTTCAGACAGCACTGTCCTTACCTGTTGGCATCACTGACTTGATGGACATGAGTTTGAGTAAACTCCGGGAGTTGGTGATGGACAGGGAAGCCTGGCATGCTGCAGTCCATGGGGTTGCAAAGAGTCGGACATGACTGAGTGACTGAACTGAATTGAACTGGTTCTTACCTGTAGATGGTGGAGGCAGAGGAGGGGTGGAGCCCAGGTGACCTTGGCACCCTCACCGCTGCCTGGCACAGAGTCTCCTGCCTGGGTGGATGCCAGTGTGGTTAGCAGGCTCCAGCTCTTTCCAACCACCACAAGCCTGTTCTCTACATCTCTGTTCTGTTCAGTTCAGTCGCTCAGTCATGTCCAACTCTTTGCGACCCCATAGATTGCAGCACACCAGCCCTCCCTGTCCATCACCAACTCCTGGAGTTTACTCAAACTCATGTCCATCAAGTTAGTGATGCCATCTAACCATCTCCTCCTCCAATATCCCCTTCTCCTCCTGCCTTCAATCTTTCCCAGCATCAGGGTCTTTTGCAGTGAGTCAGTTCTTCACATCAGGTGGCCAAAGTATTGGAGTTTCAGCTTCAACATCAGTCCTTCCAAAGAATATTCAGGACTGATTTCCTTTAGGATGGGCTGGTTGGATCTCCTTGCTGTCCAAGGGACTCTCAGGAGTCTTCTCCAACATCAGAGTTCAAAAGCATCAATTCTTTGGCATTCAGCTTTCTTTATAGTCCAATCCATACATAACTACTGGAAAAACCATAGCTTTGAAGAGACAGACCTTTGTTGGCAAAGTAACGTCTCTGCTTTTTAATATGTTGTCTACATTGGTCATAACCTTTCTCCCAAGGAGCAAGCGTCTTTTAATTTCATGGCTGCAGTACATCTCTGTGAACTCTAGTATTTCTTGACTAAGGAAATAAATGTCAAGGAATTAGAGGAGAAAGCATAGCTCTATGAGGACCCATTATTAGATAAACAGAAATGGCATGATTTTTTATTAAATATAGCATGGCATAATCTTGTAAGTGACATTTCCCAGCCTCATCAATCATAATTTTTGAAGTGAAGGTTAAAAATTTTATTAAAAAATAAGCAATTGGCAATTTAGAGAAGAAACCTAGTAGGGAAATAATTGATCATCAATAAGTTAAAAAAAAAAACTACATTCATGTAGATTTGGTCAAAATATTGCTTTCTGTAATTTTCATCAACAGTAACATTTTATTCAGTGCTATGTGATGCTTCTTGGCCATGTGAAAAAAAACCAAGGGACATTTTTTCCTGTTACTTTCCTTTTTCCTGCTGCATTTAGGTCAGTTTCATGAGGACAATACCTTTCTAAAGGCAGGCTGCTCAAGTGCTGATAATATGATCCTGAATCATTTGTTCATGGAAACTTCATGGTTGAGTGGAAAGTTCATGACTGTTAGAATCAGAAGGACATGACTGTGAATCCGAACTAGTTTTTATGACCTTGGTAATTGCTTAATTTTTCTAAGCTTTGGTTTTCTCATCTTTCAAATGGATGCAATAATATTTCATAATGTTACTGTGAGGATTGTATCATTGAACTTTTAAAATATGCTAATTTTAAAATTTGCTTTAGCCACATTCTATTAAACTTAAGGATACTGGGTACATATGGTCCAAGATGGTTGGTATTATACTTGGGGGATTGATTTAGATGCCAAGTGTTGTTTGGAATGCCAAAATTTTTGGATAATGAATTTCTAGTTCTAGCTATGAGGGAGAAACTGGTATTGGACTTGCCCTTATTGTTATTTTTAAGGTTAATAAAATTGATAAGCTTCCAGCAAGACTAATCAAGGGAAAAAGAGAAAACACACACATTATCAATATCAGGAAAAAAAGATGAGCTACTCCTATAGATTCTAAATACATTAAAAGGACATTAAGGGGATATTGTGAACAGGTTTATGCCAATAAATTCAACAGTGTATGTAGAATGGTCAAATTCTTTGCAAACCACTGCTCACCAAGACTGATTTAAAGATGAAATAGGAATCGCATTGGTAATTGAATGCTTCTGTAGAAAGAAATCTCCAGGCTCAGATAGTTCCACTGGTATCTTTCATCAAACATTTAAGGAGAAGCAATCTTACACAAAACTTAAAAAAAAAAAAGAAAGTAGAAAAGAAGGGAACATGTCCCAACTGGTTCTGTAAGACTATACAGATAAAGTTATAGACTAATTCTGATAACACCTGACAAAGACATTGCAAGGAAGAAAAATTATAGGCCAAATATCTCTCATGAACATAGACATAAAATTCTTTAATAAAATTTCAAGTCAAGTCCAGTAATAAATAAGAAGGAATTGGAATTTATCCTAGGATACAAAGTTGATTTAAAAATAAAAATCAATCATTGTTATTGACTAAATTATCAAAATGCAGGAAAAAATCATATTATCAATAGACATAGAAAAAACAACAGCCATCCATAACTTTCAAAAATTCTTCTTTCATTAAAGTAGAAATAAAATGGAAATTCTTCAGTTTGATGAAAGGCGTCTGTGAAAAATCTACTACTAACTTCATGCTTAAAGGTCAAAAGCTTTCCTTTTATGATTGGTAACATCATAAAGGGATGTCCATTTACTATAATTTTTCATTTAATTATTTTATCTATGTAAAAATATAAAACTATCTATTAAAAATTGTGATTGTTGTTTTGGTCAGTACAATTAGGCAAAAAAAAAGTAATAGGCAAAGAAGAAGTAATTTTTATTTTATTTAAATAATTTGATTATTTATTTAGAAAATCCTAAGAAATCTACAAAATATATTAGAATCAATAATTGAATTTTGGAAGGTTATAGGATAAAAGGTTAATATAAAAATCAGTTTTATTTCTGTGTAACAGGAAACAATTATAATAGAAAATGCATATTTTAAAAGTCCTATTTGCAGTAGCATCAATTTATGAATACATAGGAATAAACTTTTTGACAAAGGTGCCAAGGCATTTCAGTGGCAAAAGTAAAAGTTTAAAATCAATAGACCAGAAAGCCTGAATAAAATTATGAAAAAATTTAACCTTGACAGCTATCTCACACTATATGTAATAACTCAAAACAAATTATATACTGAGACTTAAATCAAGATGATAATATAGAAGGATGCCTTTGGTACTTTGAGATAGTCAGAGACTGCTTCTTGTTGTTGTTCAGTACTAAGTTGTGTCTGACTCCTTTGTGACCCCATGGACTGCATCCTGCCAGGCTCTTCTGTCCATGGGAATTTCAAGGCAAGAATACCAGAGTGGGTTGCCATTTCCTTCTCCAGGAATCTTCCTGGACCAGGGATTGAACCTATTTCTCCTGCATTGGCAGGTAGATTCTTTACTACTGAGCCACGAGGGAAGCCCCAGAGACTTCTTAAAAGGAATATAAAAGCACCAACAATTACAAAAAAAGATAAATGGAACTTCACTAAAATTTAAAAGTTTTGCTTTGCCAAAGATATATATCATTATGAAAGTAACAGGGCAAGCCACCTATTGAAAGGAAATACTTGTAATTCATATATCTCACAAAAGACTTATGTATTCACATCCAGAGTATATAAAGAGCTCCTACAGGTAAGCAACAGAAAGACAATCTAATAAAAATGTAGGCAAAAGACCTAAACAGAGACTGCATAAAGGAAGATAATATGAATGACTGGTAAGCATATGAAAAGATGTTAGGTGATTGTTCATTAGGGAAATACAAATTAAAGCCCTATTAAGATACCACTTCACAGCCATGTACTAATGGCTAAATTGAAAAAGACAGACAACATCAAATGTTGATATATGTAGATTTGAGTGGGACTCTCATATGCTGTTTATGGAAGTAGAAATTGATATAATGACTTTGTAAGTTGGGAGTCTTTTTAATGAAATCAATCGTATACTTACCCTATGATTCAGCAGGTCCATTCCTAGGTATTTACCCAACAGAAGAACACATATTCATAAGAGGACTTGTACAGATGTTTTTAGCAGTTTTATTTCTTTTGTTGTTGTTCAGTTGCTCAATCGTTTCCTACCCTTTGGGACCCCATGGACTGCAGCATGCCAGGCTTCCTTATCCTTCACTGTCTCACAGAGTTTGCATAAACTCATGTCCATTGAGTCGGTGATGCCATCAAACTATCTCATCCTCTGTCACCCCCTTCTCCTCCAAGAGACCTAAACTGGAATCAATTCAAATGTTTATCAATAGGAGAATAGATAGCAAAATAGAACAAATTAC